GCTGGGAAGGTGAGTGTGATAAGGGCTGGGACCCAGCTAGGACGGCTTGCCTACCTCGTAAGCCCTGACCCACCAAAGGTAAGAGAGAGGAGCAGGGGGTAGAACACAGCGCTCCCAGGAGCGGCATGGCCCCTCCAGCAACCTGAGCTGAAAATGAATCTTCCCACTCAGCAAAACAACTACCCTTTAAAAATAAAAACAAGTGTTTTCTTTTAGAAAGAAACAGAACCAGAATAACCTAAAATGAAAGGGAGCGAGGGCACCAGGGAACGGACTGCAGCACAGACCCCCCTGCCTCTAAAATCCATCCTTTGGCTGATTAGAACAGAAAAATATGTAAGTGGGAGCCCAGTCCTCCGAGGCTGGAGCAGAGGAAGCCTCCCCACCTCGGGAAGGGCACCAGGATCGCACAGGTTGGTCTGCCCGTCACTGTCAGAATTTGGTTTTAGGGCAGCTGGAAGATTCCTTAGAAAAAAGACACACTGTCTTCATACTCAGAGGGGTAGTCAGGCTTGGAAGGGACACTGGACACTCACTTCTAACCAAACTACCCAGGCTCACCTGGATGAGTAGAGCTGGCAGGGTCTATTCTGGACACCTCAGCCCCACACTCCCTCCCAACAGTTGCTTCCATTGCGTGTTCTTCAGAACCCAGTTCTATAGGGCACAGCTACACCATGTCCTCCCAAATTGCCATACATTTGCCAAAACACCGAGCACTGTGACCCCTTCCCCCACCCACACAGACCAGTGCTCATCTTCTCTCCCTGGTGGAGGCAGGAGGTGCTTAGGAGACCCAGGGTGGGGCTGTTAGAAAATACTTTGCTAACTCTGTCTGGGGCTTGCAGAGTTGGTGTGTGGGGGGAGTTGGGGAAGGGCAATAGCTAGGATCAATGTTTCCTCATGTTTGTCTGCCTTGTCTGATTCTCCTGAAGGCTCCAGGGACCTGCAGCTGTGACCATTTTTCAAAAATGTCAGCCTTCTACTTCCCCACATCCTCTGTTGCAATTAGGGGATTTTAGCACTCTCCCTAATCCTGCTCATGGTATCCTGGCTGCAGTCCCTGAATGACCACCACCACTTCCACCTTTCAGCCACACAAGTGGCTTGTCTAGCTTCTCACTCAATCTCATTGTTACTCTAGCCAGGGCCACCACCAAACCTCAAACCCTGAAACTCTTTTCCAGGAGTCAGGAAATTTTTTTCTAAAAAAGGCCAGATGAGCCTTCAATTGTAGTACAAAAGCAGCCGCACACAATATAAAAACTGTTAGATAGGTCAAGGGTCTCAAGATCTAGGAAGTTATGTCAGTTCTTTAAAAATTCTCCTCCCATGGTTTGGTGACACAGCACCAAAGGCTTCCTCTCACCTCTTTTTTTGTTTTTTTTTTCTTTTGTTTACGTCTTTCTAAATGTTGAAATGTAGCATAGTATTTTGCAGCTACAACTATAAACAGGAGGAGCTGACAGGAACTCAACTGGGATGAAAGTAGCCAACTGCAAAGAAAAAATTAACATCTAATTGACGAGATAGTATATATAAACAATGGCTATGCCTCCCTTTGGGGAGGCAGAGCTTTGGATATGAATCTGGACTCCTTTACTTGCTGCAAGTAACAATCACTTTTGAAGAGACCACCCCAACCAGTGAACCCCTTGAGTTCAGTAACAAAACTTCATTTACAAAACAAGCTGCACTTGCTGACCCCTGCTCTTTTCTGATGGAAACTTTCCTGTTTGTACAACTTCCTTTCCTTACTTATGTGATCCCACTGTAGCTGCGGGTCAGTCAGCCCCACTCATCCCCATTCTGGTTTCACACACCTCCTCGATCAGCATGGGTGTCACGGTCAGTTCCCTTCTCCACCCAAGGCTCACTGTCCCCTTTTTCTGTTCCAAAGGTGCTGGAGAAGGACACTGACTCTTGCTAATGGGGCCATATAAATTCCTCCTCTTGAACTTCAGTTAGGCTTTCACTGCTGTCTGGTGGTCAGTTCAGTTCAACATTGGTTCACTGTGGACCGAATGCTCTTCTTTAAAGGTTCTCCTCCCATGGTTTGGTGACACAGCACCAAAGGTCTCCTCATTCCCCCCCCCTTCTGTCTGTCCCTGTCCCTTTCTCCCATCCCTTACATATAATTAGTCCCCAAGGTTTTGTTTAAGGGCCTCTTCTTCCTTCCCCAGGTTGATTTCATCAACTCCCCTCTTAAGAAACTAGCCCTCTTAAGAAACCATTCAAATCTATTATCTCCAGCCACCGAGGCTTACGACCTGAATTTCCAAATGCCTAGATAATCTGTGCACTTAGATATCCTACCATTACCTCAAACGCCACATATTCTAACCAAATTCATCTTTCCCCTCAACCCAGGCCCCTCTCCTGTGGTTCTTATTACTGTTAATAGCACCATTCTCCTCTTAGTTATTAAGGCTAGAAACCCGAGTCATCTTTGCTGCCTGCCTGCCTTCCTCCATCTAAAAATCAGGTAGGTAGTTGCCAAAGTGCTGTCTTGTCTGCGGCCTCTGTACTTCCCCTGAAACGTGTCATCAACAGTTCCAGCCCCTCCTTCCCTCTCACCTGGGCTACATAAGGCAAGGCCTCTAATCTTTCCTCCATCTCCATTCTAATCCAATGGGCCTGCTTCTCCCTCTCTTGCCACCTACTGTAAGTCCAACCTTTCCTTACAGATCTCCTTAAATGCTACTCTCCAGGAGACATCTTCTGACTCCCATCTCCCTCGCTTCCTGTCTTTGAACGCCTCCTTCTCAGCACCTGTTACACTTTACCTTTTATCATAGCTATTGATTTTTCAAAGGCACACATAGATTGTAGTATATCTGAAAGGTGATTAACAATATTAGATAGCCTAGAAATTATACTCAACTCTGCACTCCCAATATTCCCCATGTAGTCCTGATGGGGGTCTGCAGTTGACTCCACAGTAAGCTCCTGGGGGACAAGGGCTATGCTTCAGTTATCTCTGCATCCCCAGCACCTAAGAGGGCATCTAGCACAAAGCTGATCCCGAAAAAACATTTGCGGAATTAATGGCTGCAAGGACAAGACATCCCTAGACACGCAATCCCTTTCCTTCTTGCTCCACACAACTCCTTTCCCCACCACACTGCTAGAGGCCGAGGTGTGTGTGGACAGAGTGGGAGTCTGGCCCACGAAGCTGGTTTATGGGGATTTCAGCACTTTTCAGTTTAGTTATTTGAGCGACCTTGGTAAAAGAACAGTTTCCAAGTGGCTAAAGTCAGTTCCTAGCTAAATGTTTTCTAGATTTAGACTGCTCCTACTTGGTCAAAGCCTGTAAAACATTTGAATGTCCATGTACATAAGAAGAGTAAAATAAATCGTGGCACATTCATGCTATGGAAGAATACTCACAGTTTAAAAAAAAAGTGCTGCGATCTACTTGTACTCACCTGGAGAAAATTTAGGAATGCTATAACGTTAAATTAAACAACAACAACACCACAAGCTGCAGAGGAACATGTACACTATAATTCTCCTTTTGGTAAACAACAGAAAACCCCCGAGAGAGAGAGAGAGAGAGAGAGAGAGAGAGAGAGAGAGAGAGATATCCTGGCGATATTCTTAAATCCCTCCACATCTCCACTCGCCCACTTCAGGCCTATTTATTATGAAAACTATGTAACAAGCCATTTAACATCCATTGCCCTACAAAACTGCACTTCGATCTAGTCTTATATATTTAAGATCAAGAGATGAGCCCCCCACTTTTACCAGGTGGGCTCCATAAGGTAATATATTGATATGTGTGAAAGATTGCTTTTCCTTAAGTCAGGTGTCCCTAATTCTTTTAAAGAAGAGAGCTATAAATAAAAACAAAAAACTAAAAAAGAAGAAAGATATATGTATATATGTATGTACGTGTGTGTATCCATGTATATGATCGTTGTAATTATAAGGCTATATGTGCTTTGACTCTATGTAGTCAAAACTCAGAATTATACATTACAAAAGGTTAAGTTTTACTGTATGCAAATTAACTTCGTCTTTTAGCGGAAAATGAATAAAGCTGCTATAAACTCTGGCCTACAGGTGATGTTAAGAAGGGTGGTTTTTTGTTTCCCAGATGCCTCCAGGAAGTAGGAAGGGCGCAGAGAGGATCCTGCTAAAAGTAAAGCCTGTTGTCCACGGGGGCTACGGGAGCGGCGGGCGCACTTCCCCCGCACGCCTCGCTAGGCCTGCTCAGCACTGCGGACTAACCAGCGCGGCACAAGCTCCTGCAACTGCAATTCTCCGCCGCAAGAAAACGCACACACACCGCACGCACGGCCCGGAGGGACACGCGGGCCTGGGAGGCGGGCCGGGGCGCGCGAATCCCGGGCGGCCGCGCTTACCTGCCTCGGGTCCATGGCGCCCCCGAGGCATGTCCACGGAGCGGACCCCCCCACCCGGTGGCCGTCGGTTTCCGGGGACCAGGCTTCCGCTGGGGGCTTGGCAGATACGGGGCGCGTCGGCGGGGTCTGGACAGGAAATGCTCCCGGGCCTGCGGGCGGGCTGGGCTGCGAAACGGCCCGGGTTCAATTTCACTTTCGTTTCCCCGGAGGCCCGCCCCGTCGGAAGCCCGGCCGAGGGGAGGGGCTTCGGAGCTGCGCGCGACGCTCGCGCTTTAGGGAGGCAGCTGTGGGTCTCGAGCTTGGCTGCCCCCGACCGTTCCCCTCGGGCTCCGAGGGAGAAGGCGGAGGACAACGGAGGCCCGGGGAGCGCAGCCGGAGAAGCGGCCTCAGGCTCTGCCCTCTGCGCCGGGCGCAGCGCTACCGACCTGGTTTCTCCAGTGTGGAAAGCGGTGGGGTGGGGATCTCTCCCATGGCCAACATCCCCACTGTGCACTGTTTACTCATATTCCTTGACTATTACACACTGACATGAACCGATAATAGCCACTAGGATGTGGACAGCTATAGCTGCAACTGAGCAATTTAGGATCTCGGTCCTAAAGCCTTCCCACTGCCACCGTTCACCCAGCCAGGCGAGGGCGAAGGCCTCTGCATGCGTATTCCCTTAATCTTCAGAGCAGCTTTTCCAGATAGGGGTGATGCCCAAATTACGGAGGTGGGAAATGAGGCTTTTCAGGTCGGACTGGAAAATTCATCATCATTACACTCGCTCAAGGTACACGGTGACTTTCTAAACGATCACTACTTGTGTTATCTGGAGGGAAAAAGGTGAACTGATTTTCATGATCATGCTTATGCATCTGCTCGATTTTGTTCAAGATTCTGTAGATCAATTCTAGTGCTCAACAAACCCTCCCCGTGAAAATGTTCTTTTTCTGTGTTTAATTTTGTCCCCATTGCTGTTGAGATTAGCAAGGCAGTCCCTCTACAGCATTGTGACCAGCTGATGTCTTCTCCACTGTCCTCTTATTCCATTCACCCTAAGTGTTAGTCACCCCAGATTTCACAGTTAACGTGGGCTGTGTTCTTTCTCACTTCTGTGTCTTTGCACATTCTATGCCTTGGCACATTCTATGCCTCCACTGCTTCTGGTGAAATAGTCCTTCAAGATCTGCTTCAAATATTACCTCCTAGGGAGCCTTTCCCTACTCTGGGTTGGGTGCAATTTGTGGTTCCTCATTTTGTGTTTCTCTGCTTCCCTGCTAGAAATAGCGTTCAGTCTCATCCCAACGGGGGCATGCACAAAACCACAGAGTTCCTGCCCATCCACCAGACAGGCAACATTAGCCATTTGAGCAGGCTAGCTGGGAATGTTCTGGGTGCTGGTGATGTTCTAGCTCTTGACTTGGTTGTGGTTACATATATGATTGCTTTCCAGTAGTTCATTAAGCTATACATTTACCCTTTATACTATATGTCACAATTTTACACGGTGAAAACAAGAACAAACTCTCACTATAACAATTCCAGCCTGTCTTCCCACATTCTATTTTCCATTTAAGTCAAATGAGTTATGTCTCACCTCTGCTTTCTTGCCTTTGGGCTAAACAATCTCACAGCCCTTAACCCTCCTACAAGAATGTTCCAGAAAAGTCTTAATCACAGCTATTGTGCAGGGAAGGTGCACTGCTGCTGCCCCCATCCCTTTTAAGCAGAAGGAAAATTTGTTTCCTAAGCAGAGGGTGTTTGTGCCTTGAAAGAACTACTCTTGTCATTTAATCTTAGCAGCTCAAGTAACTGCAGACAGTCTTATTCATAAACATTTCATCCCCCCCTGCCCCTCTCCCCCCGTAATTGTTTCAGCTCCCAGGGTTGTGAGGTGGTGACATAAGCCTTTGTGCTATTCTACTGTAGGGACTTGATGAGTTGGATGAAGCTCTTTAAAAAATTAACTACAAGTAACAGGTTGATTAGAGAAAATTTCAGAAAATACAGACAAGGAAACGGTTAAAATGACCCCTATACCTCCCTTGTTAATTCACCAGAGCCTTCCCTTCCTGCTTTTTCCCTGTGCATAAAGGGACCATGCACATGGGGGCGCTCCTCTCCTAATGCAGGGTGCTCACCTGGGGAGGGGGGGGCGTCGTCTCTGAGGGCCTGCTGCCCTGCTGTGAAGTAACCGAGGGCTATTTACTAACAACTCCCTAACTGATTAAGAGCTCCCATCTAAAGTAAGGTGTGCATCAAAAAGCCCCTCACTCGCAAGTCCGGCTTTCACATAACATTGCCAAGCTCCAGCTCCACATGTGCCTTCGGGGGCCTGGACTTCCCCTGTTAGATCCTTATCATCTGGCTACTGAGCTGGTTTTAGTTTCCAATCCTGCTATTCTTGCCTTTTCGCTATAAATAACTGTTAGTCTGGCTCATTGTGGATCTTCTGTTTAACCTCACAGTGTGCAGGGATGCGGATTTACAAGTCTTTTTAGTCCACAATTTCCTATAACCAGACTACTGCACATATGGGCTACATCCAATCGGATCCTCTATCTCCCTCTGGTAACACAGATGTCTGCGAACTCCTTCAACATTTGCTCATACAGTGATACTACACCAGAAATATATTGCCTGTGAATGTATGCTACTAAGTTTGCAACATATTATAAAAAGAAAAGCAGCAAATAACTGAGTTATTTTTAATTACTAAGTCATTGCTTTAGGAAGGAGATGCACATAGGAAATACATAATAAGCAATTTGTAGTGTCGCTAGGCACAAATTTAAGTCCTTTTTTTGTTGTTTCTTTTCATTTATCATTGGGCTTTTGTTTTTTTAAAATATTTTTTAATTGATTTTTTAGAGACAGAGGAAGGGAGAGGGATAGAGAGATAGAAACATAGATTGGCTGCCTCCTGCACGTTCCCCACTGGGGATCAAGCCTGAAACCCGGGCACGGGCCCTGACAGGGAATGGAATTGGTTACCTCTTGGTTCATGGGTGGATGTTCAACCACTGAGCCACACCAGCCAGGCTATCATTGGGCTTTTATTCCACTGTAACAGTTACTGCCACATCAACATAATTTCAAAATTCTCAGGGTCTCCCCACAGTAACCCCATTTACTTTGATAAACTGTAAGGCTTTCTGTAGACAGAACAGTGAGTTGCCCAACTGGCTGAGTAGTGCCCCACAGTTGTCTTTATGCTGGTGTACAGACTCTATTGATGTTAATGACTAGACTGGCTTTTGATGTTACAAGAAACAAGAGATGCCTCAGGTATCCCCAGAAGAAACAGGTCTCCAAAAGTAGATAAGCGACTATACCCAAAGTTATCCAGTAAATGTAAAAAGAAGAGTGGTATTTCTAACTATAGGCACCAGGCATTGTGATAGTAGGTATTATATATATATAATATATAATATATAATATATTAAGGCTATCATATTAATAATAGTGTCAAACAATATTACTAACAATGGCTAGCTAACAGGTCTGTGCTGAAGAGTTAATGTACATTTGGTCTCATAACAGCCCCACAAGATGACCCTAAGAACTTGTGGTTTTATGCATTAAGTGCTGACACTCTTAGACCGCCCTCCTATGCTCGGTTGGTCTGGCATCTACCACCCGACTGCCCTCTAGTTTGGCTCTGACCAGCACACAGAGGTTCAGCTACTGGCCCACATCTGGATTCTGCTGAGTCAAGGTCCAAAGGGGGCACCTCCCACTCACTTCTGCCTTCTCTTGCTCTCCTTGTCTCTGACCCAGCCTGAGAGTGGCTGGGCTGAGTCCCACCTTCCTGCAGGGGCAATGTTCCCACGTCCATGGCTTGTGGGAAGCAGAGGGGACAGGTACAGTCTTGTTGAAGGCAGGCTTGAAGGCAGCCTCGGCCTGAGTTCTTCAGTGTTTTCTAGGGAAGCAGGCTGATATTACCAACGACCAATTGCAGAAAGCCAATTTGCCAAATGGCCAATTCTCTAAATAACCAATTTACTAAGCAACCAATATGCCAACTGACTTTTTTCTTTAAGCACTCATCTTAATTGATCAGTTTTTATTGTCTTCATAATAGTATTAGAGAAAATGTACTCTGCCCGTCTCCCTGTTGCTGTAGAGCTGGAAACTGAGGACACTAGGGGATAGCAGGAGGGGGTAAGGCTGAGGGGCTGTTGTAGAACTGATGTTCACTGGACTGATTTTCTGGGAACTGACCTAGAGCCATTTCCAGGTGTCTAGAGTCTTCTTTCCAAAGGGAATGAGCAAGGCTTTGCTATTCCTGACATGTGTCATTGTTGTTGCTGTTGTTAATTCTCACCCTAGGATATTTTTTTCATTGATATTTTTAGACACTGAAAGGAGGGAGGGCAGGGTGGTGGGGGAGAGAGAGAGAGAGAGAAACATCTATGTGAAAGAGAGATATGGATTGGTTGCCCCTGCACATGCCCTGACCAGGGCCAGGCATCTAATCTGCAACCCAGGTATGTGCCCTTGACCAGGAATTGAACCGGTGACCCTTTGGTGTATGGGCCGATACTCTAACCACTGAGCAACACTGGCCAGGGCCTAAAACATATCTTTAAAAGCATTACCTTCAGCATTGACAAGTTCACAAAAACTTCCATCTACACACACAGAGGAGAAGGTATCTGAAGACAGTGCAGAGAGAGACTTGAAGATGCTGGACTTGAAGACTGGAGTGATGCGGCCACGAGCCAAGTAATGCAGGCAGCCACCAGAAGCTGGAAGAGGTGAGGAACAGATTCTTCCCTAGATAGAGCCTCTGGAAGGAGCACAGTCCTGTGACACCTCAGTTTTGGCCCAGTGATACTCATTTCTGACTTCTGGCCTCCAGAACATGAGAGAATAAATCTCTGTTGTTTTAAGTCACCAAATTTGTCACTGCCACTATGTGAAACTAATATACCATCCTTGATGGGCAGTGCAACCAGGAAGCTCTGAGGGCAGGGCTAGCATAGACCTTGCTCTGCAGCCAGGGAGTTCTGCATTTGAGGCTACCAAAGGAAAAGGGCTGAAATAGACCAGCTGTCCTAGATGATGCAAGCACAGCTACAATTTCCACTTTTTAGTTAAGCCAAATAGTACAGCCTTCTCATTACTGTCC